GTGCCAGTTGTCCTTGGCTCAGAAGCAGGTTCTCTGGTTGACTGCGTTGCCTGAGATGTTGAAGGTCCACTTGAGCTTGGAGGTGCAGTGGATGTAGTCTTTATTGCAGTAGTCACAGTAGACCGCTCTGTGCTCTCAGGTGGTTGTGTGGTGGTCCCACTGAACCCAGTTGTCGACAGGACAGAGGATGAGGTTGCTTCTTTTGCTGTAGTGTTTGATCTGCCACTGTTAGTTGCAGTCGTGCTGGTGGTGGTGGTTGTTCCAGAAACTAATGCTCCAGTTGATTCTGGTGGTGGATATGATGGTCGAGATGTTGTTGTCTCTTTCTGGGTTGGAGAAGAGAGTGTTGTAATCACAGTTGACATGCCAGTTGTCCTTGGCTCAGAAGCAGGTTCTCTGGTTGACTGTGTTGCTGGAGATTGTGAAGGTCCACTTGAGCTTGGAATTGCAGTGGATGAACTTGTTCCTGCAGAAGTTAAAGTAGACTGCACTGTGCTCTCAGGTGGTTGTGTGGTAGTCCCACTGGACCCTGTTGTCGACGGGGCAGTGGATACAGTTGTCTCTGTTCCTGTAGTGGTTGATCTGGCCCTTGTAGTGGCTGTAGTGGTGGTGGTGGTGGTGGTTCCAGAAACTGATGATGTAGTCGATTCTGGTGGTGGAGATGATGGTCGAGATGTTGTTGGCTCTTCCTGGGATGGTGCGGAGTGTGATGTAGTCACAGTTGATGTGCCAGTTGTCCTTGGCTCAGAAGCAGGTTCTCTGGTTGACTGCGTTGCCGGAGATGGTGAAGTTCTACTTGAATTTGGATGTGCAGTGGACGTAATCGTTCCTGCAGAAGTTACAATTGATCGCACTGTGCTCCCAGGTGGTTGTGTGCTGGTCCCACTGGACCCAGTTGTCGACTGGGCATAGGATACAGTTGTCTCTGTTGCTGTAGTGGTTGATCTGCCACTTGTAGTTGCAATTGTGTTGTTGTTGTTGGTTGATCCAGAAACTGACACTGTAGTTGATTCTGTTGGTGGAGTTGATGGTCTAGATGTTGTTGGCTTTTTCTGGGATAGTGAAGAGTACGTTGTAGTCACAGATTTCCCTGTCGCTGAGGTGGTTGATCTGCCACTTGTTGTTTCGGTTATGATGATTTTGTTGCTTGTTTTAGAAACTGGTAATGTAGTTATTTCTTGTGCTTTAAATATAGAATTATAACAATTATTAAAAAATTGTAAAGGATAAATATCAAGTAATTGAAAATGTAAACATGGTTTTTATTTTACCTGATCTCTTCAATATAGATTCTTATTTGCATATTGTTCTCCCATTAGTGCTATAGATTCAGTCCATCCACAGATTACAATCTACTATTATATCCTGGAAACTTCAATTTTCAATATAGTGGAAAATATATATTCTTTGATAAACCCTAATTTAAAAAATATCTATCTTTATATCAAGCTTTGCTAATGGTGCTCAACATAAATATAAATCCAAATCAGTGAATGAAAACACATACACTCACTTCTATGCTCAAGCACATTCCCTCCATTTTTACCACCTCCAACAAAAATAAGTAGAATCAACAATTATTTGCCACTAATATCTATCGTTATCAATGGTGTTAGTATCTTACTAAAAAGAAACAGAGCAGTAGAATTGATAAAAGTACATGATCCTTCCTTGATTTTATCCAAGTAATACCCTTTAACATTTTGTGTAAGCATTGCATGAGGGTTAAGGGATGTACAAAATATTTTAAGGAAATAAATCTTCCAAGCAATTTGGTTTAGCCATTTTACTATCAAAAATACACTAATATACTTCAAAGCAAATCTAATCAAAGAAGTAGAAAAGCATACCTTGTTCTCATCACATCTACCAAGTGTGCATTGAAACTTTTAAGGTCTATGCCCCAAACACAAGGGCATCCAAGTTTGTGAAAGAAGCAGTATAACAGTTTAAATCACATGTTGATGTTTGTACTGACAGTGGAAAGCTTCAGTACTCCACTGTCACCAATGTACAGCTCACCCAGATAAAAGAGAGAGAGAGAGAGAGAGAGAGAGAGAGAGAGAGATATGCTGGCACAATCATATATTATAAACTAAATGGACCTAACCGATATTTATAAATATTTTATCCAAACATGAAAGCATTAAAATTCTTTTCTGCACCACATTAAACTTTCTCCCATACTGGTCACATACCCAGACATAAAGCAATCCAAAATAGATTTAAAAAACTATTTGAAAGAATTTATTGCATCCTATCAACCCAACATGGATAAAAGCTAGATATTAACAACAACAACAACAAACATCACAGAAAGCTTACAAATTTAAGAAAACTAAACAACTCCTATTGAAAAATCTAAAAGAAATAGATAATTTCCTTTGTAGGTACCACTTATCAATGTTAAATCCAGATCAGATAAATAATATAAAATGACCACAACTTCTAGTGAGATAGCAGTCATTAAATGACTCCCAACCAAAATGCCCAGGTTCAGATGGTTGTGGTGCAGAATTCTACCAGACTTTCTAAAGAAGAGTTGATGTCAATAATCTTCCAATTACTTTACAAAACAGAAATAGAAGAAACATTACCAAATTCATTTTATGTGGCCACAGGTAGTCTAAAACCCAAACCACATAAAAACTCAACAAATAGAGAATTACTGATCAATGTTCTTTATGAATATAGATGCTAAAATACTCAATAAAATACTAGCAAACCAAATCTAAAATCACATCAAAAACATCATCCACCATTATCAATTAGGCTTCATACAAGCGATGTAGGAATGTTTCTATATATAAAATCCATAATTGTAATAGACACATACACACAGTGAAAGAAAAAAATCCACACAATCGTCTCATTAGATGCAGTGATGTCTTTCACAAAATCCAACACCCATTTATAATAAAAGTCCTGGAGAGATTAGGGATACAAGGAACATACCTAAACAGTTTACAAAATGCCTATAATTAAAACCATATTAAATGGAGAGAAACTTGAAGCAATTTCATTATTTTCAGGAAAAGGATGACCTTGTCCACTCTCTCCATATCTTTTCAGTAAATACTTGAAATTTTACTAAAACAATAGAACAACTGAAGGAGATCAAGGGAATACAATTTGAAAATAAAAAAGAAATAAATGTATGTTATTTGCACGTGGAATGACAGTATACATAAATGACACAAAGAATTCTACCAGGGAACTCCATCCAAAACTGATAAACACTTTTAGAAAAGTAGCCAGGTAGAAGATAAACTGAAAAAAAAAGTCAGTTGAGGGACATCTAGGTTGTTTTCAGATTCTGGCTATTACATATAAAGCTGCTGTGAAAATAGTTGTGCAAATGTTCTTATTGAATGGTGGGGCATCTTTTGGGTATATGCCTAGGAGTGGTATACCTAGATCTTCAGGTAGCACTATTCCTAATTTTCTGAGAAAGCATCAGATTGATTTTCAAAGTGGTTGTACCAGGTTACATTCCCACCAACAATGGAGGAAGGTTCCCCTTTCTCCACATCCTCTCCAGCATGCTTCATCCCTTCAGTTTTTGATCTTAGTCATTCTGATGGGTGGGAAGTGAAATATCAGGGTTGTTTTCATTTGCATTTCCCAAATGTCTAAGGATGTCGAGCATTTATTTAAGTGTTCCTCTGCTATTTGATGAATCGGGAGATAGAAAGACCTAGAGAGGACAGGAACTCCACAAGGAGAACAACAGAGTCAAAATATCTGGGGCCAGGGAGCCTGTATAGACCAATACTCCAGCCAGGGACCATGCATGGAGAGGACCTCAACCCCCTGTTGTAAGGAAGCCCATTGGCTCCTCAGTTTCCAAGTGGGTTTCTTAGTAAGGGGTACAAAGTCTGTCTCTGATATGAACTCAGTGACTGGCTCTTTGTTCACCTCCCCCTGGGGGTACAGCCTTGCCAGGCCACAGAGGAATATGATGCAGCCAACTTTAATTAGATCTGATAGGCTTAGGGTCAGATAGAAGAGGAGGAGGTCCTCCCTAATCCAGAGACTAGGGAAAAGACATAGGGAGAGAATTGGGAGGGTAGGTGGGACTGGGAGGAGAGGAGGGAGGCAACTGCAGTGGGGATACAAAGTGAATAAATTGTAATAAATAAATATATAAATAAAATTAAATTTAAAATCTCAGAAATCCTATAAACAAATGACAAATGGACTGAGGAAAAAAATTATGGAAACAATACATTTCATAATAGCCACAAATAATATAAAATATCTTAGTTTCACTCTAACCAAAAAGTTAAAGACTTGTATGGTATAAACTTCAAGTCTTTGTAGAAAAACATTGAAGAAGATATAGGAAGATAGATTTTTCCATTTTTGTGAATCACTGGGATTAACATAGTAATGAT